CTAGGGAAATACCAAGGCGTTCCAGGCCAACCGAGAGATATAATCTCTCCAGCGTGTCCTGGGTCTGCCTCAAGGCCTCCTCCTGGTGGGACATGCCCAGAACACCTCACCTAGGAGGCATCCTTGTCAGATGCCCAAACCACCTGAACTGGCTCCTTTTGATGTGGAGGAGCAGCGGCTCTACTCTGAGCCCCTCCCGGGTGGCCGTACTTCTCACCCTATCTCTAAGGGAGTGACCAGCCACAATTCGGAGGAAGTTTATTTCCACTGCTTCTATCCACGATCTCGTCCTTTTGGTCACTACTCACAGCCCATTACCACAGGTGAGGGTAGGCTTTGCTTTTTCTCAGCTCCCTTTTCACAATGACAGACCGGTACAGCATCCGCATCACTGCAGCTGCAGCACCAATCCGTCTGTCGATCTCCCGCTCCCGTCTCCCATCACTCGTGAACAAGACCCAGAGATACTTAAACTCCTCCACTTGGGGCAAGAACTCGTTCCTGACCCGGAGTGGGCACTCCACCCTTTTCCGGCTCAGGACAATGGCCTCAGATTTGGAGGTGCTGATTGTCATTCCGCTTCACATTCGTCTGTGAACCGTTCCAGTGCAAACTGTGGGCCATCACCTGATGAAGCCAACAGAACCTCATCATCTGTGAAAAGCAGAGATGAGCTTCTGAGTGAAAGCCTTCCGCCACTTGGCGACGCCTAGAAATTCTGTCTATTGAAATTATGAAGAGAATCTGTGACAAAAGGGCAGCCCTGGCAGAGTCCATCATCCACTGAAAAGGAGTCCGACTTATTGCTGGTTATGCGGACCAAGCTCTTGCCACGGTTGTATAAGGATGGAATGGCCCGTAGCAATGGGCCAGACACCCCATACTCCCAAAGCACCTCCCAGGATTAGGTTAGATCTTCATGCAACATCGTAGCAGCATGCCGACCAAGACAGCCCTACTACATTCAGAGCCTTCAGGAACTCGGCTCCTTCCCCGGGGCACAGCCACAAAGAAGTTGTTTGACTGCCTCATTGACCTCACCCCCAGAGATAGGTGAGTCGGCCCTCTCTGCTTCCTCCACAGAAGATGTGCCAGTGGCATTCAGGAAGGCTTCGAAGTATTCGTTCCACCACCCAAAAATGTTCTCAGCCGAAGTCAGCAGGACTCCATCAACACTATACACAGTGCAGGTAGAGCATCGTTTGACCCTCCTGAGTCACCTGACGGTTTGCCAGAATCTCTTCGAGACAGTCCAAAAGTATTCTTCCATGCCTTCTCTGAACTCGTTGCACACCCTAATTTGTGCTTCAGCCACTGCCCAAGGCGCGTTCTGCTTGGCCTGTTGGTATCTACCAGCTGCTTCCATAGTCCCACATGCTAACCAAGCCTGATAGGAATCCTTCTTCAGCCTGGTGTCTCCCTTCATCTCTGGTGTCCTCCCCCGCCACCTAATCCAACTCACCGCCAGGTGGTGATCAGTTGACAGCTCAGACCCTCTCTTTGCCCTTGTGCCCAGAACATATGGCCGTGGGTCTGGAGATATGATTACAAAACCGATTGACCTGTGACCTAGGGTGCCCTGGTGCCACGTGCACTAATGGAAACCTTTATATTTGAACATGGTGGTTGTTATGGACAAACTGTGATTTGCACAGAAGTCCAACAACAAAACACCACTCGAGTTCAGATCCGGCAGGCCGTTCCTCCAAGTCTCACTGTTGTTGAAGCCCCATGAGTGTTGAAGTCTCCCAGTAGGACAGCAGGGTCCCCAGGTGGAGCACCGTCAAGTACCCTGCCCAGGAACTCCAAGAAGGCCGGGTACTCTGAACCGTCGTTTGGCACATAAGCGCAGATAACAGTCAGGATCTGTTCCCTGACCCAAAGGCGCAGGGAACAAACTCTCTCGTCCACTAGGGGAAACCCCAATGTACAGGCAGCAAGCCAAGGAAATACTAGTATGGTCTTGTGTGCCTTTCCAGAGGTTCTGGCAGAGGATATTCTGAAGACCTATCCATTTAGGTTTAGTTGGTGCATCCCATCCTCACCCAAACTGTGCATCTTAAGTGACATAAGTGAATTAGATATTCAACCATATACAACACATCTAGTCCTTACTTCCCCATACATCGATAATAAAATTATCCTTATGAATTGGAAATTAAAAAATGATTTGTATATTACGCAATATAGAAATTTAATCTAGATTAAATTAGTTTGGAGAAAAGGTCTGCCTCCTCCCGTCTGCATTAGCTACACTATCCTTTGTGGTAGGGTCGGTGGGTGCTGGCCTTGGGTGCAGCCGTGTTCTGGGGCACTGTTGAAATGGTCCAGAGTCGCTTTTCCTTGGTTGGTGGTGGGGCTGCAGAGGGGGTGACAATCACTACTGTCTGCCTCTCAGTGTTACATGCACCTTAGACATTGGGGGGAAGGTGTAGATTTCCACTGTTGACCAGCAGTCTTGTACTCATGTCCCATCTGTCCACTCAACTTTGATAGCACTCTACTTTTCACATAGTCATTCTCACTATTAACGCCTCATGCACCTCACACAAAAATTAGGGCCAAGGATCAGGTTCTCCGGCACAAACAGAGTAATATAGTGCACGCTGTTAAGTGCCAGGAAGATTGATGTAATTTATATATTGCTTTATAGACCGGTCGCCACTCTTTCAATGATGAGCATGTACAGATGTACAGATCCTGATACAGGATGTATAGGACTGGTTTAAATGGGTGGTCAGGGAAGCCATTAACATTAAAAGGGAAAGACCATCTCTAAATTGAGCAAGGGGGCTAAGGGTACATCTTTCACCATCTTACAATGCTGTGATTGCAGCCATTCCCCAACTCTCTGTGAATGGTGCTTTGATCAGTGGTTGTTTATCAGAGGTAATGACAATTTGGATATTAATGATCGACAAACTGACCTCACAACCTATTTGTTTAAAAGGCCAGCAGTCCTGCAGTCAGCTGAGACTGAAGAAGTCACTTGGATGAGTGACAAAATGTTTCTCCAACAGAACAGAATCAACTTGAGATGTGTGTGTGTGTGTGTGTGTATGTGTGTGTGTGTGTGTGTGTTGGTGTGTGTGTGTGTGTGTGTGTGTGTGTGTGTGTGTGTGTGTGTGTGTGTGTGCGTGGCTAGGCCTGGGCACCTAGCAAGCAAAATCTAAAGATAGAGACTTGTGCACAGAACTGTGTGCTGCGATCTAGATGTAGAAGTTTATATAAACTTAGAATTTGGGTAGAGAAATTCCTGTGTTGACTGTACCTTATTCAAGAGCATAACGACAATGCAAAATGTGTTGAACTTTTCTTGTTCTCTCAATTCAGGGGTGTATTTTGTTCGTCACAACAGTCACCACTTGAGCAGGATCTACCCCTCAGGCCAGCGCCTCCATTCCTCCAACTATAACCCTCAGGAGATGTGGAATGCAGGCTGTCAAATTGGTGAGAGCATTTTTTAATATGTTGTTCTATTTTTAAGAGAAGCAAACAGAACTGTCACTAACTGTTCTCCCACACTCGCGCCTCCAGTGGGTAGACTAATGGACATTGTCTCAGGAGGCCTGCAAGCTCTTCACACTGATGTTTTGTTTTCTCCAGTTGCTCTGAACTTCCAGACACCTGGTGAGCAGATGGATTTGAACCAAGGCAGGTTTCTGCAAAATGGTGAGTGTGGGTACATTCTGAAACCTGCCTTCTTGTGTCAGCCTGACAGTACTTTCAATCCTGAGAATGTGGGAGGAGGTCCTGGCCACAGACCTGTCATGCTCACTGTTCGGGTAAGATGGAAACTAAATCTGTCTAGGAGTATTTTAAGCTTGGTGACCAAATGTTTCTTATTGTAACGATTTTAGAAAGCTCTAGTTGCCTCAATATTGATTCCCATTAAAGAAATGTGTCTATTTCTTGAGTGGGTTCTTCTTCTCCAATCTATAATGATACTTTAATTAAATAAAGATCTCTCTTGCTTTGTTGTTATTCCAGGTCATTTCAGCTCAGCAGCTGCCTAAACCAGAATGGGATAAGCCCAGCTCCATTGTGGACCCACAAGTGTGGGTGGAGATCCACGGCGCTCCTATTGACAACAATAAGAAGAAAACGCATTATGTTGAAAACAATGGTATATATGTCTTTACAATAAAATATCATTTTATAGTTAAATGGCTTCAGCTTTAAGGGTAGCGTAGTTGTTAGCCCTGTCATCTCACAGAAAGAGGTTCCTGGGTTGATTGTGACAGGTTATAATTTCGTACCCATGTGGGTTCTCTTTGGGACATAGTACAACATCACTATTTATTTAAGAAAAATGAAGCTAACCTGCAGAGGCAACCTATGAAAAAGTAATAACACCTTTATTGCTTTCAGAAAAATTAAGAGAGTAAGTAGTGGCCAATCAGCAGCAAATGTGACCACCTTTATAAAAGAAGTTTAGAAGAAAAGAAGTCAACTTTATTATCTATTCTGCAATATTTACAGAAAACAGACTGGGCCATAATGTCTTTTCCCCCTGTGCAACTAGAAATAATCTAAACTAAAATAAAAATGAGGACCATAAGAATATGAAAACAAATTTGAGGTATTACAATTATTACTCTTTATATATAAAAATGTCAAAAAATCCAAACATCAAACCAGTTTAAACCCCTACTAACTAGGGGTGAAAGTGGGCTGAAGTGGTGTTTTTGGTGCAGATGTCTGTCCGTTGTGGTCTCGGTATTTTAGTGTCAAGCTAGCACTACACAGGAGGGGTACATAAAAAGGGAATAACTCAGGTAATTTCAAATGAAACTTCTCTATCAGCTCAACAAATAATAGCAAACACACTGTGCACAGCTTATATGTTTTGTGTGTTTCTGCTCGCTGAAGTTACACCGTGTGTACTTTCCAACTGGCATTTGATAAACCGCAAATTAAAACTTAGGCATGCCCTAATTTTTAAATAATATCTTGGATCTGTGTATGATGTGAAGTTATGTCTGTGAAGGTTCTCAGTCATCCAGGTCATCGTAGTCAAAGGAGCTTGCAAAGAAAAGCGTCTGGACTTCTTTAAGTTGCTTGAAGACGTTTCACCTCTCATCCGAGAAGCTTCTTCAGTTCTAAGGTCAAATGGTGGAGAGTCCCAGATATAAACCTAGTGGGAGTTTCCCCCCACAGAGGGACAAAAGGACCCCCTGATGATCCTCTAATCGCCTGAGCCAAGGTGTGAAACTGGGTGTGGGTCCCAATCAGCCAGAGTTTCGGGTGTGTTCATTGTGAAACCTGGCCCCACCTTATCATGCGAATTCCTGAGATCAGCTGGCCCAGGATGTGAGTGGGCGTTAAGGCGTCTGGGAAGGGATCTCAAAACTGGATTATAGATGGCAGAGAGTTGGTGTCGTAAACCCCCGCCTCTGTTCAAAGATGGTCGCTCACAGTGGACATAGATGGCTTCTTTCACTTCTCTTTCAAACCATCTGTCCTCTCTGTCCAAAATGTGAACATTGGCATCCTCGAAAGAGTGTCCTTTATCCTTAAGATGCAGATGGACTGCTGAGCTTCTCGGTGAGAGGTGAAACGTCTTCAAGTAACTTAAAGAAGTCCTGACCCTTTTCTTTGCAAGCTCCTTTGACGATGTGAAGTTATGATTTTCATATTGTGAAACTTCCTGCAAAACAAATTGAGGTACACTACAATTATATTATTAAAAAGCTGCATGAACATATTCTGCAGTTTAGTGCAGGATAAACAGGTTAGCTTAGCAGTATTGTGAGGAATTTACAGTAAAGCACTGTTACGGACTGTTGCACAGTGGCTGTGATGTTCATGGTCAGTGTTAATTTACAATAACCTGATGATGCTTAGATTCATTCATTAAATTCCATCTTCATACCGCCTGTATACTGTCTTGTATAAAGACATTATAAACAGTATATATTAGTGCAGGGGTTAGAAATAAGCCAAGATAGCTTATGAAATATTGGGTTACATCTTGTTGAATTAAGTTGTGTAAATCCACAAAGAGCAGTGAACCTCAGCAGCAGCAGCAGCAGATCAGCTGAGCAGACCCTGTATACAAAGAAAATCTACTGGAGCGCACAATGGAAATTATTACGAGTTGTGTTTCTTTCCCCCATGCTGAGCCACTACAAGTACATTTCATCCTTTTTCACTTTATTTGAGTAAAGAAATCGAATCAGTAATTTTACCAGAGTATTTTTTAACACCAGTATCTGTACTTCTACTAAAGTAAACAATGTGTATTTTTGCCACCTCTGCTCAATAAAATTTACATATACTGCTTTTGTAAATATTCACCATGTTGCGCAGTGTTTAAAACAGTGGGCCAGATGGAAATTGCGATTCTGCCTAAGTATGTGGCTAGAGACTGGCCACGTATGTAATATGCTAAATGTGGAGAAGAAGATAATTCATAGGTGCTTGTGTGCCATGGAGCCAATTTTTAATTCAGTTTTGCACCTTGAGTGTCAAGATATTAAGGATTATAACTACTGTATGTTTTATCATCTCAGAAGAAGAAGCCATGGAAGAAGTAAGAATGTGAAAGAAACTAATAGCGAGTTAATGCAACTACGGATAAACTGTGGTCCTCTTCCTCACCTTAAAGCTCAGCTTCTGAACTGCAATCAGGGCTCTAACACATGAAAACATGAATAAACATGTTTATTTATTCCCGTTATTGTCACCAATGTGAGAGTGTATAACAGCTAATGTTAAACTTGAGTGTCCTAAGTATCACATTTTTCATCTGATGAAAAATTTAATTATGTTCTGACATCTTATGATTGTTTTTCATTTACTTTATTTCCTTTGCATGGTAAAGTTTGAACTTTGGAAATGCAGTGATGAATGGTGTTCACTAACAGTTCTTGAGCCATGCAGTGATTTCTATTCCGGAATCATGTTAGGTTGTATTAAAAGTGGACAGCTCAGTTTTACACCAGGCATAAAAGCTTAGAAACACTATCACTTTACACATTGCAAAACTTAGTGTGTGAATTTATGTTCTTCATTACAGGCTTTAATCCACGGTGGGACTGCACCTTTAACTTTACCGTCCATGTCCCTGACTTGGCTCTGGTCCGCTTTTTGGTGGAGGATCATGACTATACTTCCAGAAATGACTTCCTGGGACAATTCACTCTCCCTTTCCCCAGTGTCCGCACAGGTATGTGTGGCAGCGAATGGGTTAATATGAGTGTGTGGGTGTGTGGGTGTCGTCAACATCAACACAATATGAATAGCCACATATTCTACTTATCTTAAACCCCCTTAACTCTGCAGGTTATCGTCATGTCCGACTGCTCAAGATGGATGGATCAAGCCTTTCACCTGCGTCACTCTTTATACATATTAAGGTCACTCCCTGTCAGAATTCCAAATCTTCAGCAAAATCGCCAACCCACTTTCCAACCAAGAATCCCTAATCCCACTTCTGCCTTTCAGCCACATGATCATTCCATGGTAGTTAATCAGAGAAAACTCAGTGGTTACAGCTTTCTCTCACGGTATCATCAACTGATTCATTTTTTTTACGCAATAGAAATGTTTAAAAACTGTATTTGAGATTTGTTAAGAAGACAACATTGTTATGCAATGCTAAAAGCCAATTAGGTAATACTATCCATACCAGTGACTTATCGATGCACCTAAGATTTCAGAGCAGTCAATTTAAGTGTACTGCTTCTACCCTTTGAATACATGGTAATAATGTCTCTTGTAGAAAGCTTCACAAGCTGGAGGAGGTGGCTGGGGAGGGGGAGGTCTGGGCTTCTCTTCTTAGGCTGCTGCCTCTGTGACCCGGTCCCGGATAAGTTGAAGAAGATGGATGGATGAATTGCTAGACGTAAGGCCCATTTGGAACATCCTTTGACCTGTATAGTGTGCTAAGAGTTTTGTATTGTATAAGTTGTGAATTGGGTCATTTTGAAGCATATCAGTCTCCACAAGTTTTTAATCTTGACTGATCAAAATCAAATAGAGAAAGAAGGGAAGGAAATTAAATCATCAGTGTTTAATAACAACTTACAAATATTACAAAGTGTGTACAGAAATGTAAAAGTTACCCCTATAGGTATTTCTAAGTTGTAAAAGTATTTCGTATTCTCTTTTCTATTGAGTATTTTCTGTTCTATTTTCCAACAGATATCTGTATTGTTTCAAATGGTTGTTAGTTTACATATGATAAGTAAAGACTAAGGGTTGTTTTTTTTTTTTTTTAAATTCCCACCACGCTGGTGGAGATGTGTTTATGTTAAGGCTTTTAAAGCAGGTATGATTTTAATATTGGAGCTTATAAAAAGCAGATAAGAGATTTTTACTTTTGTGCTTTTGTGCTTGTTCTTGGTCCAGCCATGGGCTGTCTAACAAGCTTGATTTAATCCATTTTGAAACATATAGCAATTAGTGCTGTCAATAGACTTAATTAACTAATTAATCTCACAATTTTCTGTAATCAATTGTGATTAATCGCAATTACTTGATCAACAGCCTGGTTGTAACTACACTTTTTCAACTTTATATTTAAGCTTGTAACAGACATTTATGCAATATAATGAAATAAATGGGGAATAAACAAAGAATATATGCTTAAATTCAAAGAGTGTCACGGTCCGCTGTGACAAACCGTGCGGTGGTGTGTATGGTGGACCCAGGTGCGAACACAGGTGAGCAGACGGGAGTGAACTTTAAACAAAAGCGAGCCTTTTATTGTGGCTGATGACAAGGTATACAAATACAGCAGGGATAGCGTGGCTAAACAGAAACCTAAACTGGGAATAACTAAGGTAAAGCTATGACTAAGAATACAATAGACCGGGCATGGAAACATAGAGGGTGGGAACACAGACGATGCGACCCAGACTACATGAAACACAGATTGGAGAAACATTTTGTCACTCATCCAAGTGACTTCTTCAGTCTCAGCTGACTGCAGGACTGCTGGCCTTTTAAACAAATAGGTTGTGAGGTCAGTTTGTCGATCATTAATATCCAAATTGTCATTACCTCTGATAAACAACCACTGATCAAAGCACCATTCACAGAGAGTTGGGGAATGGCTGCAATCACAGCATTGTAAGATGGTGAAAGATGTACCCTTAGCCCCCTTGCTCAATTTAGAGATGGTCTTTCCCTTTTAATGTTAATGGCTTCCCTGACCACCCATTTAAACCAGTCCTATACATCCTGTATCAGGATCTGTACATCTGTACATGCTCATCATTGAAAGAGTGGCGACCGGTCTATAAAGCAATATATAAATTACATCAATCTTCCTGGCACTTAACAGCGTGCACTATATTACTCTGTTTGTGCCGGAGAACCTGATCCTTGGCCCTAATTTTTGTGTGAGGTGCATGAGGCGTTAATAGTGAGAATGACTATGTGAAAAGTAGAGTGCTATCAAAGTTGAGTGGACAGATGGGACATGAGTACAAGACTGCTGGTCAACAGTGGAAATCTACACCTTCCCCCCAATGTCTAAGGTGCATGTAACACTGAGAGGCAGACAGTAGTGATTGTCACCCCCCTGCAGCCCCACCACCAACCAAGGAAAAGCGACTCTGGACCATTTCAACAGTGCCCCAGAACACGGCTGCACCCAAGGCCAGCACCCACCGACCCTACCACAAAGGATAGTGTAGCTAATGCAGACGGGAGGAGGCAGACCTTTTCTCCAAACTAATTTAATCTAGATTAAATTTCTATATTGCGTAATATACAAATCATTTTTTAATTTCCAATTCATAAGGATAATTTTATTATCGATGTATGGGGAAGTAAGGACTAGATGTGTTGTATATGGTTGAATATCTAATTCACTTATGTCACTTAAGATGCACAGTTTGGGTGAGGATGGGATGCACCAACTAAACCTAAATGGATAGGTCTTCAGAATATCCTCTGCCAGAACCTCTGGAAAGGCACACAAGACCATACTAGTATTTCCTTGGCTTGCTGCCTGTACATTGGGGTTTCCCCTAGTGGACGAGAGAGTTTGTTCCCTGCGCCTTTGGGTCAGGGAACAGATCCTGACTGTTATCTGCGCTTATGTGCCAAACGACGGTTCAGAGTACCCGGCCTTCTTGGAGTTCCTGGGCAGGGTACTTGACGGTGCTCCACCTGGGGACCCTGCTGTCCTACTGGGAGACTTCAACACTCATGGGGCTTCAACAACAGTGAGACTTGGAGGAACGGCCTGCCGGATCTGAACTCGAGTGGTGTTTTGTTGTTGGACTTCTGTGCAAATCACAGTTTGTCCATAACAACCACCATGTTCAAATATAAAGGTTTCCATTAGTGCACGTGGCACCAGGGCACCCTAGGTCACAGGTCAATCGGTTTTGTAATCATATCTCCAGACCCACGGCCATATGTTCTGGGCACAAACACACACACACACACACACAGGTACACATACACACACACACACACACACACACACACACACACACACACACACACACAATGTTTGTTCTGGTGGCCCACATTAATAAGACAGCATGTTTTAAAGAATATGTGTCTACTGTGCTCAGAATACAATCACCAGCTCTTCTCCGTTTGTACTCTTCCAACCCTTGCCGATGCCGGGATGTCCCTGATCCCACATCGCTTTGGAGTTCATCACTGGACTAGCCCCCTTAACAGGTAACCCAATTCTAACTATTGTAGACCATTTTTCTAAAGCAGCTAATTTCATCGCCTGCCTAGGCTACGCTTTGTTCTGGAAACCACTCAACTCATCACTGACCATGTTTTCTGCCTGAATGTCATATCAGGCCACAGTCCCCACTTCCCAAGTTTGGAAAAAATTCTGTACTTCCTTCTGAGCCCAGTTCAGTCTCTGTTCTGGTTTTCACGCACAGAGTAATGGCCAGGCCGATAGGGCCAATCAGGAGATGGAGACCACCCTCCGCTGTGCTGCCACATCCAATCCTGCACACATTAACCTTTTCTGCCATTGGTCTTTCTCCTTTTGAGGCATTAGTGATCTGCCTATTGATCACGATAAGCGTTACATAATTTTCACCTAGTTAGACGCAGATTTTTCCTATCGTATAGAGAAGTTTTTCCTATTGTAAAGCTCTAAACATATTTGTTACATTTATACACTTGTGATACATAAAGGTAACTGCAGTTACAGCATAATCTTCCCAATAGAGCTCTCTGAGCAGCGCTCAAATTTTAGATAAAATTTAGTAATGTTCACAGACTGAAAACTGATTACAGGCCTAAATAATTGTCTCATGAAAGGGGCTACTTTCACATTTTTCTGTAATGCTTTTGAATATATTAAATTCTTACTGCATAACTATGTTACATGAGAAAAATGTCAAAGGGCTCTGAAAAAATCTCATGAGAGATAAAAGACACATGAAACATTTACTGCAAGTTTTCCCATACCAGGCTGAAACAAAGCTACAAATGTTTTAAGGTTTTACCAGAAGTATCAGAGGTCAGAACAAATGTATTTAATTGTATTAGTTTCAGTTATAATAAAAGATGGTAAGCAGTCTTACCAGCTGTGAAAAATACCGACAGCTGCCAGTGTTACACCTCAGCCTCCTAGTAATTATTGTATAAATGTAAGAATCCTAGGTGACTTCCTTCTTGAGTTACAGTATTCACAAGAATTTTAGAAAAATAGACCTCTGACCGTGAAGGTCCCCGAGATTCAAATTCATTTGAGGTTTTTAGTAAATGAACCTATGGCATTAATTTAAAAATCCTACATCGCCATCTTTATCATGTTTTAAAGTTGGGTGTCCACGCCTGGCAGAGTGATGACGGTACCCTATCAGCCTTTTACAGCTGAGGATTAAAAACTTTAAAAGTGGTTGGAGACTGAAAAACTTTTATAGGACATTGAAATCCAGCCAGCATCTAATTTTAACCATGTCCACCTGCCAATGAAAAGTATCAAGCACAATACATATATCTCTTTGTATGGATCATTTTTATCTTTATTAATCTGATGAAAACTGTAATTGTGAGAACAATCTACATGTGGTTTAATTAACCCAGGAATATTTACATGTCCCACATAAAGTTATGTTTGCTATCAGTGGATTTAGTAGTGGTAATGGGAACTGAACTTTCACTGATTCCTTGACTACTTACCTCTGGAGAAGGCAAATTGTGGGAATCCAGGCCTTCAAGAGGCTTTGTTAGAAATTTGTCTCCCAGAATGGAGTGCAGATGTCTAGCCATAACTTTCTGCTGCTCCAGAGAGCAGTGGTTCTCCAAAGACAGGATTAGAGGGTAGGGAGAGGACTGGGATAGACACAATGTTGGAAAGTCAGTGAGAAAAGTATTTTCTGTAGACCAGAGAAAGATAAGGAAATTATCACTTGGCCTGTCAGCAAAATTGTCACTGTGGCTAATGTCGATCTATAACACACCTTCCTCTTGTGTTAGGGTTGGCACCAACCTGTTTTTAGGTTTTAAATGCATAGAAGTGCTATTTAAATTTGTTTATTGCATCAAGCCTTTTTGACTTTGTCAGGAACCTCAATTTAAACAAAATAAAATAAAAAATAATTTCACAAAATTACAAAATGCTTTGGCAAAAGTTATGACCTTTGTGTTGTTAGGGTCGGTTCTGACCCAGTTAAAATGTAAGATTATGAAATAATCAGTGCCAAAACTAAAATCATAAACACACTGAGCTCACTAACACTGTCGGAGAGAAGTTAGGGGCTTCTCTCTCTGTTTGTCTCCTCAGAACAAACAGCCCCTTTTATCCCTACTGCTTGATTGAAAAGGTAATCCAGATGGAAATGTATAAAAATCTAAGACATGTAAAGATGTTGGTGACATGCAGAGTATACATCTCCAGTTTGCAGCATGCAAAAATGAGAAGATTTACAATAAGCCAAGCTCTGCATCATATCTTTGAATAGAATTAGCCAGAAGACACAAAACAGCATAGCAATATGGACAAGCCAGTTTCTGAGGAGCTGGATGATAGAGAATGTCAACCACGGGATACAACAAAGATACATCTGATAAGTCTGATGAGGAGGTCACAGGTGCTGAAGCTGCTTCTGTTCTGCTGAAACATACAAATCCAAAAGTGGTCACATCTCTTGGAGTGCAGTATCTCCTGGCTTGCATGGCAGGGCCACTGCTGAAAATGTCACCAAAATGACCCCTGGGATTACCAGGTGTGCCGTGACAAGAATACGTGACATCAAGATATGTTTTCATTTGTTATTGATTTCACCACTTTTCCTAAAAGTCATTATTGCTATTACAATGCTTTAAAGAAAAAACAGTCCATGGCAACATTTGGAATGTCACCTCTGGGAATATCTGGATGCTTATATTGGTGCATTATAAACACTGATAGTTTCTGGATGCATCGCCAGGCAGAATCTTTTTCTTTTGAATGGTATTAAAAGTCCTCAGATTTGACAACAGTGGTACTAGAGCAAAAACTGACAAGCTTGCCCCATCAGAGATGTTTGGGAGATATTGGTGCATCTCCTTCCACTGATGTTCAACCCAGGGCAGAGGTGACAGCAGATGAACATTTTGTCCCTTTCATGGAAAAATGCTCTATCTGGCAACATAACACCAACCAGCCTGGCAAAAAAGACACAGAAATCCATGCATAGCTGATGCAAAAACTGCAATGCACGGAATCTACAGACTTACACAGACTAATGTGCAATTAGTATCCCTGTGAAAAATCAAGGAAAACTTCTAATCCTTAATATGATTACTGGACTGCGAGGACACGTGACAATATCATGTGCGACAATTTCTTTACCATCTATGACCTTAGATAAGGACTTCAGGAAGAAACTTACCATGGTGGACACAATAAAACGAAGGCAAGCAAAACAAAAAAACTTGAACTGACCCCTGAAGGACAGGGCTCCACTTTCTTTAAAATGTGCTTTATAGAGACAACCATTGTTGTTTAATACTGTCCCCAAAAAACTCTTCAACTAAATATGTATGCATTAAACTGACCTGTAACACCACAGATCTTACAATAGTTAATAACATTAAAATAAAGAATAAATAAAAGAAATTATTTTAGAGATATATTCTAGTAGTTGTAATTAATAGTAAGGTAACATAAAAAATCTCTTGAGGTTCAGTTTACCATTTTTTTCGATTGAAAAGGTATCCTGTAAAAAAGCCCTGTGGGCCACATTAAAACCAATCTTTTCATAGATAAGGAAGCTGAAGAAGGTAACCAACAGGTAACAAACAAATTGGATGATAAATTATTGTTTTGAGGGTATCGTTTTGGCTGATTTGAGGCACGGTCAAAACTGACACGTTAACATAAGAGACAGTAACAGAAAGCTAACACAAGAGGAAGGACAAGCAGTAAAAATCAAAGAACATATACAGCAGCAGCATCTATATCTATATATCTCAAGACATAAGTCAAATCATCAGAATGGACAAACATATATTTACCATCACTAATGATGCATTCAGATGAGCAAAACTAGCTTCTAGAAGTCATTCATGATGGTTCCAAATATATAAATATATATATACATATCTGAACATTGAGAATGTCAGCACAGTGTTAGGATTTGAAGCTTCTGCTGATTGTGTGAGGAATTGTTTTTGGCTCATTGTGGTCTCTTTAATGGCAGGTAATCAAGGTAAGAATTCTATAATCTGTGGACTAAAGCAGCATCCATACAGGAAGCAATCTGATTATTGAGCATTACTTTGCAGCTGATGGTTGGTTGTTAGAACACATTCAAGGCTCCAATTAGCTAGTTAACCCTCTAATATATTTACACTACTGTAATAAGTCAGTCAATGATATCTGCAGTAGTTGCTTAGATTGTTTGAAATACCATACTGCACAATTTCTACAGTAAGATTTCATTTTCTGCAGAGAACTCTTGGTTACAGTGAAGTACTCACTTTGAAAGCATACTCATTGATAGTCTCAATTACTTCAACAAAGGGCACTTTGGAAGTAAGTGTGTGTCCATGATAGATAACTGGTTCTCCTTTGTCTCCATCCCAACAGTCCAGCTCCACACACCGACAACCATGTTTTAGAGCTCTAAGAGACAAATTCAAGCTTTGTGAGTAAAGGTGTACCTTGGGTTAAGAAAAAATTACATCTTAAACACCTTTTATTACATATTTCTGAAGTAAAGTAAATTTAAAGTAACTTAAAAAAAATTGGCATTTAATTACTTTTTGGACAAATGTAACATCAACAAATGACTGTTCTAAGCATATCAAATCCTATAACAAAGTACATAAAGGCAAAATGGCTATATAGTATTTTGTAGAAGAGATTGCTTTTGAAAATTTATATCTGTGATCTTTTTGGCTAATGTTACTTGCATACTTGCATGCCTGTTTACAATGAATATTTGCCAGCTCTCTGACATTTTCCATTTTCCACCTACTTCATCAGTAAACAATACAAATGGTGCACCTGTCACGACCTGCGGGATCGGCAAGGCGCCGATCATAATCTCCCCACTCCTGGCTCTCCTTTTCTATCTCTCTCTCCCCCTCTCTCCCCCTCTCTCCCTCTCTCTCCTGTTTGGCCGGGGCGGAACTCATGGCGGCTTCACGCCCTCGGCCCACGCCTTCCTGGATTGGGAACACCTGGGCCTCATCAGACCAGCTGGTATTTTAGAGGGGGGAGGTCAGCTGTTCAACACTGGATTGTTGTGAGGACTCTAGTCAGTACACGTCGAGCCCAAGTTTCCCATGCCTCCGCCTCAGAAAGTTAACGTGTGTCTCTGTGTTCTAGATTCCCCGGACTCGTCCCCGTGTTTCCCCGTGTGGAGTGTGGAAGGAGTGACTGGTCACTAGCGGAGAGAGAAAGGTTGGCGTGAGCGCGTGTGTGATTCCCCTGTTTTCCCTGGAACCCTGCCTCTCACATCTTGTTTAAAGCACTATCCTGGCACTGTCTGTAAATACACTTGGTGGAGATCTTGTAAATAAACCGTCTCTGTTAAAACACAACTCCGGAGTCCTGCGAGTGGATCCTCAGAGCAACCCGTGACAGCACCATCAGATTCATGCGGAATAGCTGAGTTATAGCTGGCTGGCTAACTGTATCTTGTTTGGTTAAGTTATACTTAGTAAAAGTATGCGTGAGTGGAATTATCTGGCTTGCCAAATTAACTCACCAGCTGTAATGCGCCATGACTTTAACTTATGTATAATGTTGAACAATGCCATGGTACAAACATTTCTACACTAAAGTATAATTGCCAACATGGGGTTGGTTAGCCAGCTAGTTAAAACTTGTACATGTGGGCTCATTTGTCAATGGTACCTTTTGTTAACAGTACCAAATTCCCAGGTATATACACTAACATTATGACCACCTGCCTAATATTGTGTTTATACCCTTTTGCTCACAGAAAAGCCCTGACCTGTTGAGGACTCCATTGCACCCCTGAAGACACGTTGCAGTATCTGGCACCAAGATTTTAGCAACAGATCGCTTAAGTCCTGCAAGTTGTCAGTTGTGGCCTCAATGGATTGGGCTTGTTTGTCTAGAACATTCCAAAGTTGGATTGAGATCTGGGGAATTTCTGAGGCCAGTATCTTGTCCAAGGACACTTTGGCATGCAACCAGAGACCAACCTTCAAATTAGCAGACCACCTGCTCTACCTCCTAAGCTACAGCCACCCAGGATGAAGTGATAGTCTTGACAGTCTTTTTCACTTCACTTGTCAGTGGTCATAACAGCTGAGAACAATTCTGAGAACAGAGCAGATATGCGAAGAAGCACTACGTAGTTTATCCACCTATTCCTAACACTAATCTTGATCTGAGTTCTGATGTCAGTGGGCTTAGCTAGGCAGCCCAGACAACGCCATCCAGCTGTTTATAGGGGACTGACAAGTACTGCTGCATTTTGTGTGTTATGATTGGTTTTTACAAAAATTCAGATTCACCTTGTTCAGAATTTTGTGAGACAATTTAAAGTATAATAATTTAGTACAAACCTCTCCTACAATAATAATAGTATACTGCCTTTGTCAATAATAGTGAAATAGGTAGGTTACCAAATTAATAAATGTATTTGCACACGGCCTAGTTCACAATCACTGCCCTGTTGCTGTTACCGTATGTAAGGCTCTGTGCTGCTGTTCCCAGTCAGCTGGTCCTTAGTGAGGTAGGTGTTGTGGGACGAGGAGATGAAGTAGTGCGACAGTGGGTGTGCCATGTCTTGGTAAACTCTAGCGTGTTCTGGGTTAAACACACAGTTTTCCTTTGACAACATGTACATGGTGAAACCATTGGGAGTCATGAAGCTATTCTTCTGGGCTGCAATGGGCAAAGAGAAACAAAGTTTAAAAAATAGGGTATTAAATAAACATCATTTTTATTCTTATAATTAAAAATAATAATAAAAATGCCTTAATTTTTTGTAGCACAGAAACAGAGGGGGAAGACATTCAGAAGGGATGCGACTAGCCAGGAATCAAACTGGTTGACTGGTTGCTGATGTATCCATGTAGACTGCATCCTCTTCACTCATTTACAGCTTTTCAACTCTTTTTATATCAGTGTCTGAATTAATATTCATGTGCCTATGATTAGTCAATTGATACCAGGAAAATACAGTAGACACACAGAGGAGCAGTCTGGAGCAGCCTATGTATACTCAGTATACACAGACTATTCTATAAAGACTTGAATCTCCTTCAGGTCTGATGTAAACTGAAACACTTCAGCTTATCTGATCACTTACCTCATCAATCCTTGTGTTTTCATTTGCTCTAGCCAGAATGTGTTACTGCTTATCCCTCAGACAGACTGGGAATAAATATAGAATTACCCCATCCCATTGTGATATTCTGTTCTGTCCTATTAGACATCTATGTGAAATGTTGTCAGGTCAGACTTGGTGTATGAATCTTTGAGTTGTGGCCAAACTGTGTTTTCCAGTCAAAATGTCCTTTGTACCACAAACTTCATCCTTTAGCACAGCTGAATATTTGTCAGGTAAGCTTTGCTATTTTTAAAGTATTTTAATTCTCCAATCTTATAATTTATTGTTACTAGTACCGTACCCCACTCATTAAGTTCATAGGTGAGTATGAGGCTTTGGGCATGAACGAGTGAGGCATCCTCCCCCTGGTCCTTTAGGAAATCCCTCAGGTCCACAGCTGAAAGCACACAGCCATTTGCAGAGTAGCGAATGAATATGATGTCCAGTTCTGGCCTTCGTAACAACTCCCTGCAGAAAACTTCAATCTCTCCGTGATCGAGACGACCGTCACCTGACTGGTCACATTTCTATCAGAAAGACGGAAATAATAGCAGTTTGTTAATGTGCAAATAGAACATGATTTGCTGTGGGGGTGTTATCTCTACCCACTTTTGGTCTATATATCCCTGTATCTGCTATATTATTTTTTATCCCTGGTGGGGATAGCTACGTAAAAATCCAGTGTTGTGAAAAAGTGAGCAGTGCCTGACCGGTCCAGGAGCTCATCGACCTGGGGCATCGGATAAGGATATTCCACACAGAACCATACAGACCCATCTTTCTTCACCACAAGAACTAGGGGGCTACACCACACACTGTTTGACTCTTCTATCACTCCTATTTTCAGCAATTCTCTCAACAATTTGCCTCTTACTCAGGTAACCTGTAGGGCTGTAAACACACCGCCACGCCAGGTCGCTCTATGCATGCTTATGCAAAATGGTGCTCTATGAGCGAAGTACGACGTGCAGAGGTGAGAACACATCTGCAAAACGCTGTTGGATACACCAACATCCACTCTCTGGCCCTGTGTGAGATGTTTATTACAATGGAGAGAGGCAGGAATGTTTGAATTTGGCATCTCTGGCCCCAATTCATCTCTCTCCTCTCCTGGTTTAGATTTCATGCCCAATAATTTGTACAGCTGTTTAAGTGTGTGAGACATGAATGACCTGCCCTGGTCAGTCAGGAATCTCTTTTGGGCTGCCAACTCAAAAGATGCCCTGAACAGCGCCTGCGCAACACTCTTTGCAGAGATGGTGCCCAGCATCACTGCTTCCGAGGGTTGCTTTGCATAATCCACCATAACTAATACAAAGCGATAGCCACGTGCCCTTCGGTGAAATGGCCTGATGAGGTCCATGCCAATGCGCTCAAACGGCACTTCCATTATTGGTAGTGGGCAAAAAGGTGCTTTTACAATAGCTGGCTGGTTAACCAGCTAACATTCCTTGCATGACGCATTCCATCAGCGCACATCTGCTCGGGCCTGGCCAATAAGATTGGGCTATTATTCGCTCCAGAGGTTTATCATATCCCATATGCCCTGCAATGGGGTTATAATGAGCCGCCTGGAAAATAATTTCTCGACGGCTTTTCAGCACCAACAACTGGGTGTACTCCTCTGTGTGAGTGTCACAACTCACTTGATAAAGCCTATTGTTCAATAATACAAAGTGTGGGTAGGCCTGCGCCGCTTCAGGGCACACCAGGTGACCATCAATTTCTATCACTTGGTCGAAGGCTGAGTGTGGGGTGTCATCATAAGACTGCTCCAGTGGGAAATCTCCCCTCGGGTGAATCACTGGTGCCGGCGGATCCTCCCTAGAAGTACATGTCACCGCTGAATGCCGCGCAGACACTACATGCTACTGCACTGTAAAATATTGTGTGATATTTGTGAATGCTCCCATGCACACACTTAACCGCACTTTGCTTCCAACAATGCTCTGGGGTGAACCAAGCTTTGATGCACGAGGGTCTGCGTACAGGCCATGTCCACCAAAGTCTGGTGTATATCTCCTTGACACCTTACTAATATGCGATAAGTCTGGTTGGGCCCAGAACACCCGCCTGACCTCCATCAGTGGACACTCCCGTTGCAGGTGTCCCGGCTGCCTGCGCCACCCCCTGTGGCTCGGGTGCCTGTTGTTGCTCGGCTCCGGGTTGGCAGGTTCGCTAGGACAGATTTGAGGACTGCAGGGGCGGAGGTCGCTCCGCTGGGGCTGGGCCAGGGGGCCTCCTCCTCGACGCAGTTACCGGCGGTTGCCTGCTGACCAGTTGGTGATCTTCAGCCAGGGCTGGTAACAGCGGACCATGTCGCCTCTCTGGGCAGCCCCTCCACAAACTGCTCCAGGACAATCATTGAGAGCATCCACGCCTCGCCCTCTGATGGCTCGGGCTGCAGCCATCTCATCGCGGCATTGTGCAGCCTACTAGCCCAGGCGAACAGCTGATCCCCCGCCTGCCACAAAACCGCCTGCAATGGTCCTCTGGGGAGAGCCCAGGCGAACGTCCTCAAAACGCCCCCCTGACACAGGGGGGTAGGATCACGGCCGCCGTCTGGGCCACTCCGGATAGCAGCAGCAGTAGCCGCGGAACCCACTCCACAGCAGGCCACTGGCATGCCTCAGCACTAACCTGGAACGCCTCCATGAGGACCTGGGGATCATCCCCGTCCCCTATCCGGTGCATGGCCACCATGAGAGGAGGGGATCGCAGCGGCGCGGCTGCCCTGTCCAGTCTCTCCCGCACACTTGTTTGTTGCTCTGCCTGAGCCCAAAGCTCATTCAGCTGGTCTTTGTGCACTGCTGCCTGCTCTTGGTGCATCACTATATCTGCCAAGTAGGTGCAGCAGCTGCACAGGTGCCGCAGACTGCGGGACCACCACTGTGAAATGAATGGACCCCACGTAGCCTCAGGTGACAGTTTTATGGTGTTATTAACAATACGTTATCCTTTTTCCTGACGTCAGGAGGTCAGCTTTTCAGCTGCTTCTCCACTCCACACTCAGCTCCTCTCTTAAGCCCCTGTGTCACTGAAATAGGGACAGTCTGATTACTGAGTGGCAGCAGCTGCCCTGCCAGCCACCCTGGCACTGCCCCTCGAGCCCACTTAACCACCCCCACACTGCAGCGGAGCCAGAGGCAACACCCCCGCCATATGCACACTCCAAGTGTGGGATGAATAACTAACCCAAATTGAGGAGTCTACAGTGGCTTGCAAAAGTATTCGGCCCCTTGAACTTTCCCACATTTTGTCACATTACAGCCACAAACATGAATCAATTTTATTGGAATTCCAGTGAAAGACCAACACAAAGTGGTGCACACGTGAGAAGTGGAACGAAAATCATACATGATTCCAAACATTTTTACAAATAAATAACTGAAAAGTGGGGTGTGGTAATTATTCAGCCCCCTGAGTCAATACTTTGTAGAACCACCTTTTGCTGCATTACAGCTGCCAGTCTTTTAGGGTCTGTCTCTACCAGCTTTGCACATCTAAGACTGAAATCTTTGCCCATTCTTCTTTGCAAAACAGCTCCAGCTCAGTCAGATTAGATGGACAGCGTTTGTGAACAGCAGTTTTCAGATCTTGCCACAGATTCTCGATTGGATTTAGATCTGGACTTTGACTGGGCCATTCTAACACATGGATATGTTTTGTTTTAAACCATTCCATTGTTGCCCTGGCTTTATGTTTAGGGTCGTTGTCCTGCTGGAAGGTGAACCTCCGCCCCAGTCTCAAGTCTTTTGCAGACTCCAAGAGGTTTTCTTCCAAGATTGCCCTGTATTTGGCTCCATCCATCTTCCCATCAACTCTGACCAGCTTCCCTGTCCCTGCTGAAGAGAAGCACCCCCAGAGCATGATGCTGCCACCACCATATTTGACAGTGGGGATGGTGTGTTCAGAGTGATGTGCAGTGTTAGTTTTCCGCCACACATAGCGTTTTGCATTTTGGCCAAAAAGTTCCATTTTGGTCTCATCTGACCAGAGCACCTTCTTCCACATGTTTGCTGTGTCCCCCACATGGCTTGTGGCAAACTGCAAACGGGACTTCTTATGGTTTTCTGTTAACAATGGCTTTCTTCTTGCCACTCTTCCATAAAGGCCAACTTTGTGCAGTGCACGACTAATAGTTGTCCTATGGACAGATTCCCCCACCTGAGCTGTAGATCTCTGCAGCTCGTCCAGAGTCACCATGGGCCTCTTGGCTGCATTTCTGATCAGCGCTCTCCTTGTTCGGCCTGTGAGTTTAGGTGGACGGCCTTGTCTTGGTAGGTTTACAGTTGTGCCATACTCCTTCCATTTCTGAATGATGGCTTGAACAGTGCTCCGTGGGATGTTCAAGGCTTGGGAAATCTTTTTGTAGCCTAAGCCTGCTTTAAATTTCTCAATAACTTTATCCCTGACCTGTCTGGTGTGTTCTTTGGACTTCATGGTGTTGTTGCTCCCAATATTCTCTTAGACAACCTCTGAGGCCGTCACAGAGCAGCTGTATTTGTACTGACATTAGATTACACACAGGTGCACTCTATTTAGTCATTAGCACTCATCAGGCAACGTCTATGGGCGACATTCAGGATTTTGTTCACAAGTGAGAGGAGTGCGGAATATGAGATCAACAAACAGACTACATGGCAGTCCACTGTAATAAAGAGAGAGCTGAGCGTAAATGTGAAGGTGTCAATTTACTGGTTAGTCTACGTTCCTACCCTTTCCTATGGTCACAAGCTCTGAGTACTAACCAAATAAAGTCATCACCATTTGTATACAATATAACAGAAAAACCCACACTGGGCGCCAAGAGGGGAAATCAATACTCCAGGCAGAATGGCTATAAACCCCTCAAAGTTAGCTTTAATTTAAATGATTGACTTTAATTACTTAAATTAAGCAGTGTGTTCTGCTACCTGGAAGAGGCTGCGAGCATACTGGTCATTCAAGTCAATATTGATCATCTGCAGCAGCATCTGAACCTCATCGTAGCTCATCTTGTCGTCGCGGTTTCGGTCAGCCCGACTCATATAAGCATGAATCCAGGTGACACTGTCAAGGAAGCACTGGTGAGCCATATGGTGTATTTTAACATGAAGTCTCAGTGGTTACCTCTTACAGTGCTAACTCTCTAGCTTGGATCTCTTGGTTCCCAGTGGTCAACAAATTATAATTAAATAATAATAATAATTATTATTAAATGTACACAAAGTAGTGCTTCTATAAATCCAAATGAACAGGGATGTATGTCCACCCCCACAAAAATCAAGGATATTGGTCAAGTTTCTCCTTCTGGGTCATGTTGTCCATCCTCTCCTGCAGGGTACGGATGCCACGGGCCCAGCACTGAGCTTCTTCTTGGCTTTGGCAGAGGAGATCCAGGCTTTTACGAGACCCTTTGAAGACCACTGTTAAACACTGGTTTTCAGGTACTGAGCCAACCATCTGCCGCAATGTTTCTGACTGGCAACCTTCGTGCACACACTCCACTTCCATGATGGAGACTGGAGGATGAAGAAAGAAATAAAGTGAGCAAAGAATTATTCAAATATATTCACACCTTGTGATTGTTATGGTCCTGACAGAGAGTTTTAAGATTTTTTTCTTTTATCTTTGTTTATTATTTGTTATGATACACTGTGTAGTGAGCAGAGAATTGGACCCAATATGCAGGACTCAGAAACAGAACTGAACTCAAAAGGCAGCTTTATTCCTGGACATGCAGCAAACCAAAATGCAAAGAACTTAAGTAAGCAGATACTGGTGAACATTAGCTAGAGAACTACACTGAGAAATAGACAGGGCACACAAGATCACATCAAGTGACAGAAGGAAACAGGGGGCTTAAATACCCATGAGATATGGGTAAAGGTGAAACACCTGGAGAACACAGCTGAGCAGAATCCACTAACAAAGCAAGGAAGGCAAAGCAGAACATAACACACACGAGACTATAACTAAACTCAGAAGCACAAGAGAACAATATATACAGAGACAACTCTTTTGTAATTTCAAAGAAATGAGCACATCCAGAACCAAGCTCGAAGACCCAGGACCATGACACTATTAGGTTTTCCACCCAGTTCTTGGTTTGTTTGTTCTTTAGAATTTGGTTCTTTGCTTATTCTGGTTTCCTTAGTTTCCTCTTATGTACTGTTACCACACCTTTGTCTCTGTGGTTAGTAACTTCCTGTTTTAATTTGGAAGTCTTTTGCCTTCTGTGTTGTGCTTATAGTTTTACTTCCCCTATCACTGTTTAGTTTCACTGCTTTCTTCTCACCGATCTGTTTTCCTAATTTAGCCCTCAATGTGCTCCGATGTGTGTATAACCTGTCTTTCACTTTAAGCTGACTGTATCACACTGTTGCCTACTTATGTATTTCCCTGTTATTTTGGATTTTGTTTCATGTATTTCTGTTTACTGTTTGTCTCTGCATTTATAGACCTTTTCCGTCTTTTTCAACCAAATGGCTCTCATTATGTTTTGAACCTTGTCCTGTCACATTTTGGATGTGGGTTCTAACATTCTGCACTTCACTAAGATGACAGAATAAGGCAACCAGAACATGGATGCAGAAGATATAGCAATCCTTTCCAAGGACCTGAAGGAGGAATTTAGGAAGCTTTTTGCAATTTCTACCTAGATTTTTGGATCTACAGATATTAAAAGTCTGTGGGCTGAAGGCCAGCATGCTGATGATGCTGGTGCCATTGCCAGCCCCCATCACAGCCCAGTCTCAAAATGGGCTCTGCCTCTAGGGGACTCTCATCCCTACCATTGATAATGGGCTCCAACCAAGCTTTTGGAGGGGTCTCCTCTGCCACTGTCAGCCTCCTCCCAACCCCCCCTGAATGATCATGACCTTTATCACCAGCTGCCATTCACCCCCTCCTAAGGGTCTCCAACCTGGGTATTGCTGGCTGTCATCACTGGCCACCGACTGCCAAAACAGGCCTACTGGCCACCTCCTCGGCCATTGCTGGGCCCCGGGCTCACTCCGAGAACTGTCTCTCTTCATTTGGGTAAACCCATAAAACTGCTTCTCTGCTTTGCCCTGCAGCCAGGCCAACCCACAGGACTGTCTTTGTACCTTGCATCACCTTTGGACCGGCTCTCTGAACATATTTTCCTTTCCCTTTGGTCTCCTCTGCCTCTTGATTCTGCACGTAGGCCTTTCTTTTCCAGCTTTTGGACTCTATGTTTGTTTTAGTAAGACACTTGTTTGTGTCTAACAAGCTTTTTTTATTTCCACATGTCAAGTCCAATTACAACCATCTACAAGTTTTTTGAAATACATCTGAGAAGATTATGGAATGAAGAGTACAAAGATTTAGCTTCAATGTGGGGATGAAATGAATCTTATTTAGAAGTGTAACATACTAGAGGAAAACCATCTCTGTAATGATCTTGGATGTCAGGAGTAAACCACAGAACTGGCACACCAAATCCAGTGCCAATTAAAGGCCCTGTACTGTACTTGGGAGTGGCTGAGTCATATGTTAACTACACAGCATCAAACCCACAGGCTCCAAGGCGGACTCCTGCCATATGTTTTGCAATCCCACTATTTGAACTAGAGAAAGGATCTTATGCTCAAAATAGATGAGCTCTATAATCAGGGCAACATGTGTGACCCTCAGATAGTGAAGGAGGGAGTACAAAGTACAGAGCAGCAAACTGTATTTAAAATGATCAAAAATAGATACAGTACATGGACATTTTACCTTACACACCCAGCCACCACTGAGCAGCCACTTGTTCTCCAGAAGGAAAGGCTACAGCGTATTACATAGGTTATATGTAATGTCATAGTTCTCTTTTCATATGAGCTAATCTAGTTTAATCACTTTAGCTAAACATAATGATGTTGGTCAGCATGTCTGCATAGTAACCCTTTATAATAACAATGATCAATAAACAGAAAAATGTATAGGTAATTAAACTTTACTTCACTGTTAACAAATAATTAGACCATGATTTTTCTTTAGATTATTTATTTATGTATTAGATGAATTTAAAAATTGGAGAAAAACATCTTTCTACCACAGGCCATGGTCTATTGATGATGATTACATCTTGACCAAAACCTGAGACACATTTTCGGCTCACGCATTAGTGATCTTTAAAAAGAAGCAGGTGTGATTATTTATCAAAGTATCAATGGCTCGATTCCTGTTTCTTTAGACAACATATCATATTGTTCCTGGACAAGATAGTGAACCCAAATTGCCCCTGAAACATCCACTGGAGTGTGTGTAATAGATAAAAAGCCATGCAATACAGTTCTGAATGAGCGCGTTTGTGAATTTATAACAGTGCTGTTAGTGTTTCGCTAAGAGCATCAAAGCACTACATTAAGTGCCATTACAAAGTATTTGCCCCCTTACTGATTTCCTAGTTTTTGCATATTTCTAACACTTACACATTTCAGATCATCAAATACATTTAGACAAAGATAAGATATTGATGAATCGCAGATTTGTGTTTGAAAAGTTTGTATGCACAATTTGCACACTGATTTTTTGTGTATGCACTGCTGAGCCCCACTGACAAACACACTGAGAACTCCACTTCTGGCTTATAAAAACTCAAAATGAAGGTTTTGGAGTGGCCAAGTCAATGTCTGGACTCAAATTAAGACTGAGATGCTATGGCCTGACCTTAAACAGGTCCTCCATGTTCAAACATTTCCAACATAACAGAATTAAAAACATTTTGCACGTAAGAGTAAGTCAAAATTTCTCCACAACTGTGTGAAATAGTCATTCCCAGTTATTCCAAATACTTGATTGTGGTTTCTGTTGTCAAGGAGCGCACAAAAAGTTATTAGGTTTGGGGGACAATTACTTTTTCAGACAGCTACAGACAGGTTTGGATGGCTTTTTTTCCATTAATAAATTAAATGATTTAAAAACTTTATTTTGTATTTACTCGGCTTATCTTTGTCTTACAATAGAATTTGTTTGATGATCTTTGTGTTTTATAATCATCAGCACTGTATAATATATGTTATATGAAAATAATCATTTATTTATTCTGTGATCATGTAACAGTGTGGACTGCAACTTGTTATAGTTTAATGTTTCATTTACAACTGACAATTCAAATTCATTTAGTGTCAATAGTGTGATGCTGCATACAACATAGTACAAAAACTTACAGGATTGTTGTTCCTTGGCCCGGCTGGATGTTTTGTATGATTGACACCAAACGGTGACACCATCTTCCAGCAACTTCAGAATCCGACGCTTCTGCCAGCGAGGCGAGCGAACCTTCCCATGTAATGATTTCATATGTTACAATACATGTAATATATAGCATTCACAAACTACTTCTAACCGCTACAAATGGTTTATAATTATTGATACCTTCACCATACTAGAGCCCTGCAGCATCTGCCTCACATCTTCATCACTTTGCACTCCTAGAAAGCATAGAGACAAAATGATGGTTGATTAAAATTATGTTATAAACACTATATTTATATACTGTATTTGGGTGTGTATAAAATAGCAGTGAGCATACACCTAATTATAATACGATTCAAATTCAGTAGCACTGGGATAGGCCGAAGAAAGAACAGGGAGGGCATAAAGAGAGGAAAAAGAGATCAGAGTTAAAATTAGAGGCTAGTGTGTATACATCTGCCACACCACAGCTGCTCGTGTGGGTGCACTGTAATTGAAATATATCTTGGGTGGGTGGACAGAGAAAAATGGAAGGAAAAACTATAAAGACAACATTTGGAGCCATTATAAACTTGGGCCCCCCCAAAAAAGTAACACCTCCAGAAATGTGCCTCATAGCTGAATGGATGTGTACTTCTGCTAGAGGAGATTGTTTATTAAACAATTATTCATTATAAAAAAAAAAAAAATGTAATTTTGCACCAGGCCACGAGCAATCCTTGTAGGGTTAGTTCTTATAACTTGGACATAGTTCTCTCTGTTTTGTATGTCAATACTTGAAAGTACAAACTGTCAAAATTCTTGGTATCCCGTTTGTGGGTTCTTTTGTAGAATCTCATGAACTCTACGGCACGGAAGGAACCTTTCAGTGACGTAAGTGTATGGTGATTAGTCTAGAGCCCAAAAGGTGGACTGCAGTCTGAATCCAGATCCAAACACTATTCTGTATGGACCCATTAGATTTGATTCTTGGTACAAGTTTTCTTGTATGCATGTACAGCATGGTTATTTTAATCTGTACTGCTATTATCATTTTTTGGCAGTCAGTGTGTGCACACAGCAAACATAGACCAGTCACATGGATTGTAAGTCATTCCATGTGATGTTACTCAGCCAATCAGGTCATTTTTTCAAAGCAACGTTCCAAACTAGACCTTTTCTTTTTTTAAATTAAGGACTTTATATGTAAGACAACTCTTTCAAGAGTTCTTTATTTCATTTTGAATGTAAAAGAACATTATTTTATTTTATTCTATTTTAGTTTATTATATAGCACTTCAGTTCATAGTGAAAACATATAATAAACCCTGCTGAAATACAATTGAATTGAATGTTCTTTATTTTACTGGAGACCCAGTTGTTGACCACATACAGCCACTAATACAACTATTTTTAATATATTGAAATTAATTATAATGTTTTTGTTATTCTGGAGCTTCTTTCGAGGGGATTTTCTCAAACTCGACCGCCTAAACTTTTGTCTAGACGTAAGCATACGGCACATCTGGAAGTTATTCACAGCGACTTCACTCGCTCCACATGGTGATGTGTTAGCCTTATTCTAACATGGATTGAATAAAATTTTCACCTCAAAATTATATACCCAATACCCTATAATGACAGTGAAATGTTTTCTTTAAATTCTTGGAAATTTAAAACAAAAAACTAAAAATATAATACAGGCATAAATATGCACAGCCTTTGCTTATTGCAATTCTTGATGATGATAAAAGTTTGGCACACCTGGACTTCTTTAAGTTTCTCTTTAAGTGAAGAGATTTCACGTCTCATCAGAGAAGCTTCTTCAATTTTAAAACCAAATTGTGCAGAGTCCCAGGTATTTAAAATGTACTGGGAGTTATTCCAGGTTTCTTGACCTACTATCATCCATGTGCTTCATCACATGAGCCATAGTTTGAAAAAAGGCATGACTAAGGCCTTTCTACCCTGACTGCTCAGAATGGCTGGGCGGCAGATACAGGAAGTGTCCTGGTGATGCTTCTTCCATTTATGGATGATGGAGGCCCCTGTGATTACTGGGACCTTCAATGTAATATAATCCAGTCTTGGAGGTCTACAGACAAGTCCTTGTCTTCACAGCTTAATTTGTCCTCTGACATCTGCCGTCAACTACGGGACCTTATATTAGAGAGCTGCCTTTCCAAATCATGTCCAGTGAACTCCATCCCCCTAAATGGTTGTGACATATGGACACTCCTTTCTCAACTTGGTTCTGCTGCAGGTTTCTTCCTATTAAAAGGGAATTTTTCCCTTCCCATTGTTGCCAAAATGCTTGCTCATATAATTGTTGGGGGTTTCTCTGTTTGCTCTGTATTATTGTAGGATCTTAACCTTACATTATAACGCGCCTTGAGGTAACCTGTTGTTGTAATTTGGCTCTATAGAAATAAAACTGAATTGAATTGAATTGAATTGAATTGGACACACCACGGGTGGACTCTAGTCAAGTTGTAGAAACATCAGACACATGATGACACAGGATGCATCACAAATACTTATGTACATGCTATATTTTGGGTTTTTAGTGTAGAATTCTAAGGTGAAAAATGAATTTAATCTATTTTTTTAAAAAAAGGCTGTAAATACCGAGCTATAGCACATGGGTGGCTAAAGTTGTTTTACCCTGGGATCCAACTTTTTTGTTTGAAAAAATAAATAAATAAATGAAAAATCATAGAAGTGAGAATGCACAATTTTACTCCAAGTTGCCCCTAAAATTCTCAACTGGCCTAACTTTTTTTTCACAAAACATGTTATCTCTACAAACCCATTAAGGGACAATCAATGTACTAAATATTATATAAGATTAGGAGACAATGAAAGAAGCGGGGTCATGTCAGGTATATGATACATTTTATGGGCTCAGTTTATGTTGCTCAATTCAGTGGCACATATTTAAATGTGAAAAATGTACATCTATAACAACAGAGTCACCTCCTTATTTTTTAACTGGATTTGAATAAGTCAGGAAAATATTTTTAAGTTAATTATCGGCTCACTGGAATACGGTAATTTCAGTAATTTTACTATCTGGATAAACTAGAGCAGCGTGGAATAGTATACCTCAAGTACCTCGATTTGTACTAGGGAGCAAAGCAAATTTTTCAAGCACTGCAATCTGAATGTGAAGCAGGGTTAACGGGTTAAAGCAGGGTTACTGTCTAGCAAAGCCATTTTCTCAGTCGGAGGGAGTGGGGGAGATACCGGTACTCTTTCAGTAAAAATACAGAGCATAATAAACGCACAGGCTGCTGTAACAAAAACTCTCACCCAGATTCCGCAGAGGATCAATGGCCTTTAATTCGGACGTCCCGGCTCCGTTCTTGACCTGGGGGATTGCTTTCTTTCTGTTGCCCAACATACTGTAAAGAGGCTGCGCTTTATTTAGCTCTCCGTGCCTCCCTCCGTCCCTGCAACCGTATCCTGCGTTGTGTGTGTGACCGAGGTAGGAAGCTGACAGTGTACTGGCTCGGCTGTCAAGACAGTGTATACAAATCACAGAGCAGAGTGCTCCTCATGTTTTATCCTGCCGGAGGAAAACAAGAGACAAGACAAACCTTTGCAATGTCATTGTGGTTGGATTGTAAAGCATCTCTTCCTGGATGATTTTCAAAATAAAGACATTGCGACGCGCAAACAGGGTAGACCTACCTGTTTCATGTTATTTATTTATATTTATAAAAGACGACTTCTGGACCCACGTAGTCTCTTGAAGTAAAATTAAAAATAGTGTAGACAGAGGCATAATTAAGACCTTGTATAACCATTCTCTGCTTGTCATTCTCTGCTTGTGTCTACAAGATTTAGTAATTTTTATTTGAACATCAATTAATTTTTATTATTATATTTTATTTATTTAATATATTATAGCATTATTTCACAGCAACAGTTGTGTCTTTTCCCAGTTTGTGAGCTAATCACTGTAATATTAAAAAGAGAACAACAGCCATCACCAAATTCACCATGGATAGCACTTGGTGATGGTGCGATACAAGAACTACCTTTAAACAGGAAGATAGACAGACAGAGTCAGTCCAGTTCTTTCTTATTGTATTGCTTAACAGAAAATATCTGCACCCATTTATCCATCAATTTCCAAATTCAGCGTTGGGAGTGGAGGAGGCGGGAGAACATGCAAATGTTTTGTCATGTTGTATTCTACTAAGAAAGCTACTGAGACACATTATTGCAGATTCATCATGATTAACTAAATAATCGAAGCATTATTTTAAATTGATCAGAACTGCAAGGTGAACGTTTCCTAATCACGATGCCACATTAGTTATTTATTCGTATTTCCCATGTATTATCTCACCTTACCAGAAATAATATTTTTTGAAGCTTTTAACCTAAATCTGAGATTTGGACCTTATTATGCCTTTGTTTTGAAAGCACACGTCGGTATTTCCGGGGATGTCTTCGTGAAGTTGACAGCAAAAATTATTTAAACGGATTATAGACCGTGGACAGACGTGAAATTTGAGATTTCCTCGTCCGCCCCATCTACTAAGATCCAGTTTTAAAAGGGACCACGGTACAAGTGATGCATTCACTGATGTTAATGATCAGCCCTAAAGCTGATCCTTAACACAGTCCTCTGTTAGGGCAGCGGAGGGCTATTGTATAATAATTAATCCACAAATCGGGCTGCATGTCCCGCGTTGACTGCAATACATGAAAGTGATGGATGCAAATTGATGCCTCCTAGACTAATTTCGTAATTGCAGGATAATGTTTTAAACAATGCTAACGACAATAAAAAAATCTTTTGGTTTATTGATTACTTTGTTTCATAAACGGTTATAGAGCAGGATTAGTTCACTTTGTGTGTCCATGTTGATTAATCCCATCCGCAGTGGAAGAAGTGATGGTAGAGGACTCAGATTTTACCAACTGAAGCCTGTAAACATCAGTCCCATTTAAGTAAAGTGACTTTTATCATTCAAATATAATCAAGTAAAGAAAATGTTTGTCATAACATGTTCCTTGAAATTGACATTATTATTATTATTATTATTATTATTATTATTATTATTATTATTATTATTATTATTATTATTATTATTATTATTATTATTATTATTATTATTATTATTATTATTATTATTATTATCGTGCCATACATTAATATGTATGGGCAGCATTTACTGTCAGAATTCATATATATATATATATATATATATATATATATACACTACTTTTAATAGTATATAGTTTTAATAGTTTTACTATTACTAATATAGTAATAATAATAACTATTATTACTATATTATTATCGGAGATGATGGTGGTAAAAAAGGGGTGGAAGCAGAGATTTTCATTGAGAGTGACCAGGATGGACAAGAAAAGAAACAGGTATGTCACTGGGATAGCTCAGGTTGGATTTCCGCGGTTTGGATACAAATTTAGAGAGGCATGGTTTAATGAAGTGGAGGGATAGTGGATCTATTGGACAAAGGATGTCCAGTATGCCCATAATCAGTATGGAGCTACCAGGCAGTAGGATGAGAGGACGCCCTCATTGTCACGTGATTTGACACGGAAGTCATTTGTGTAAAGCGCAGACTGGTGAGTAGCTGCAGTTGACGGTAGCTCAGCCCTGTGGCAGGTGGCTAGTGAGCAGTTTTGTGAACAAACGTTACCGTCAGCGTAGACCAAGATATAGCAAGCTTCGTCTTGTTGCCAGCTCTGTCAGTCTTTTGGCCGAGGTTGCCGAGCTGTCTTTCTCCGGTGTGATCATGGACAGCGGCAGGACGTAGTCAGTAAGGTAAGACAGCTAACTCATACTAAGCTCGCTTGCAGCCAAAGTTCACTGTAGCAGCACTGTATATCGCTGTCTACATATCAAACGAATTTGATATTTATCAGAAAATTCCAGCAAATGCATTACCAAGTGAAACAGCATTAAAAGTAGTTACTAAGTTACGAGTGACACATGTAAACTTTAAACTTAAATAAAGTACAAGTACAGTAAATGCTCTAATCTACATTTCACCACTGGTCCTGTCAGTGCTCTCATCAGTGATTTTGCGCATTGTATGAGTAACAATACTTTATTCCAATAACCATCGGAGCAGAGAGGGGGCATTGTGATTATAATTAGTGACTAGTGTTCACTCGTGCTAAGGGGTCAAGGCAAATATCAACATTACATTAATAGCCAGCATTAATTAATTATGACCTAATTACCTATTAGTAACTGAATTAATTTACCCCCCAAAATAAAAAATGCCCAGAGAGTCACAGATTAATTTGACTTACGGTATATTTTGTTAATATTGGATTTGACTCACTCTCATAACTTATTTTTCCTTATACTTTTACTTCCACATCTGTGCACATATTCTCCCTCAGCTACAGCTCCGCTCATGCTTCCTGTGTCATACCAGTCCCAGCCATGATAGAGCCTGTGGTTGATCACCAGAAACGCTTTCAGGCTGCAGTGGATGTCATCCAAAAACTCCCCAAAAACGGTACATGGAATCTTTCAGTCATTGCTGGTTCCACGTAATTGAGGACTGTTGAGCAATCACATATATTGTGTTACTATTGTTACAATAGCATATATGTAGGTATTTTATTTTTAGGAATGAACTGTACCAGAAACACATGATCCAAGATCCTTGACGAGAGATCCAAAAGGAGAATTCCGAGTGTCCTGCCTCCACAGAGCACGTGCTCAGTAGAGATTTAGCCGAGTTTCATATTTGTCGTGTGCATCTTTTTTGTCATACTCTCAGTATTTCTCATTTTCCCAAAAAATTCTCATAAATAGTTTCACCTGCACTCATTTAAAAGAAAAAAGTTTCACAGCAGCAGTTTAAAAAGTTTACAATTTTGCAAAAGTTTCAAATGGATTCACTATTGGATGAATTTTTGATAGTAAATCATTTTTTGAGATAGTATTTATTATATGAACTACACTTAGTGCCGCTCTTAACACGGTATAATAGAATTAATTACACAGGGGAGGACAGTGTTCATTCTGTAAAATTCAGTTGAACACATTTTGCATACAAGTTGACTAAATATTTCCTTAAATGTCTTTTCAAATTCCCTCCCCCTCATGTCCACCTGCCTTGGTGACTCCGCGTGAATAAATGACGTGAATGTGGTGATAGTCCAGCCTAGAAGTAATAAATGCATGAACTAATTCTTTATTATCATTTTGACAGGATATTTCTAACTTTAGAGATGTTGCACAAATGGAAGAAAGCAGTCCTACATATTTGTTTAATATGTGCATTGAAGGACATGTCCTGTTAAAAAAAAGACTCCAAGGTTCCTCACAGTGTTCCTGGTAATGCCATCCAGAGTAAGAATCTGCTTAGATACCATATTTCTAAGAGTTTTAGGGCCGAGTACAATAACCTCAATTTTATCCGAATTTAGAAGCAGAAAATTAGAGGTCATCCAAGTCCTTGTGTTTAAGACATTCCTGTAGTTTAACTAATTGCTTTGTGTTATCCGGCTTCATGGATAGATAAAACTGCTATCTGCATAGCATTGAACATGTTTGCAATGCCTTCTAATAAAACTACCTATGGGAAGCATGCATAAGTAAACAGAATTAGTTCTAGCACTGAACCCTGTGGAACTCCATAATTAATCTTAGTGCTTGAAGAGGACTCTCCATTTACATGAACAAATTTGAGTTCGTTAATGCAGCGCAGTACCTTTAGTACCAACAGCATTCTCTGATTGCTGTAATAAAATATTGTCATCAGCATTACTTAACGCTGCACTGTGCTCTAGCAGAACAAGCACACAGAGTCCACTTTCAGAACTTATAAGATCATTTGTTACCGTCACTAAGCTGTTTCTGTGCTGTGATGAGCTTTGAATCCTGTCTGAAACTTAATAAATTAATAAATCATTCCTCTGTAAATAAGTTAGGTGTTTTACAACTACATTCAAGAATTTTTGAGATAAAGGAAGGCTGGCAGCTGGATCAAGTAATCGCTTTTTAACTACTGCCAGTTGGAAGGCAAGTGGCCGATTAATAGAGTTAGGTTGATCATATTTAAAATTGAAGCATCAATTATTAGGCAATTCCTACAATCTGAGGAGCTTGGAAAGAAAAGTGTCTGGACTTGTTTAAGTTTCCTTGAAGACGTTTCACCTCTCATCCTAGAAGCTTTGGCAACCAGACCAAATAAATGGAACTGAAGAAGTCTCCAGAAGAAATATTTGATTACACTCAAGAAAAGGATGTCAGTACTCGGAACAAGGAAACTCAGGATGCAGCAGAATTAGATGTCAGATTCAAAAATTGGGTAGAGAATGGAATCACTTCATATTGCATTATATGATCTGATATCCAGCAGGTAGTACAGACAGGTAGTACATGTCTGTACTACCTGCTGGATAACCAGTGATTTTAACAAAGAGTATTTATCATTTCTCCATTTTCTTTCTATTTTGTATGTATTGCTGCACATAAAAAAGGGCTGTATTTTTTTAAATGGACCTTGATTATAAATTGATGTAGTATAGTTTGGTGTCCAGTCCTGATGAGTGGAGAAATAAACCTGACAAATAGTTGTGCTGTTTTGTAGGCTCCTACCGGCCTTCCTATAAGGTC